TGGTTGAATTTCAGAAAAATTCTGTTTAATCTCAAGGTGAAATTAAACATATTAGAAAATAAAAATGAAGTATCATATACTTTAATATAATTTCTTAGAAAATATTTCATTTATCTATTATTTCATATAGATTCCATTTACCTGTTACTTCATAGATACAAACTCCCATAGTGAAACATTTATGAAAATACATGAAAAGACCTGATTGTGGCTGTAGATACACTATTAAATATAGTTATCTTATAATAACTTTCTCAACAAGACCCTGTAGGCTTTAAGTTACTCATGAATATTTCTGTGAATATCATGAGTTTCAAACTAAAGAAAATTTCAATCAACCTTTTATCACCTATAATAACAGCAAAGTTTCTCTTCCACCTCATATGTTATAGTTTTTGATGAATGAGAATGAAATTATGATTTTTTTACTGAATATTTGCCAACTGTAAGAATGTTGTGTAGTATATTCCTACTTTCTTCATAAAATGCTTGCACATGTAATTACATTTGCCAGTGAATGTTAAAAATAAGTTTTCCATCACTCAGATATTCCTTTTTTGTCTGAAATGCAACTGTTTAAAATTTGAATTCTATTCATATTAATCCCTGTAATAAACTCTTCAACAGGAACATATAACCTAGTAAATACAGGAACTATAAAGCCATGATTAGTGAAAACTACATCGAAACAAATTGGTACCTTCAGTCTTAGACTATATATCAATGTTTTTTGGTGAATACAAATTGAGTTATAAAATATTTGAAAACATAACTGGCACAGAGAAAATATGGTAATCCTTCTGGACTTGTCAAGAAAAACTATTTATAGAAAAAAATGTGGTAATATAGGGGAATAAGTTCTGTAGGTCATTATGAGTTTCTAAGACATCAATAAGCAAAACTGAAAAGAAATCAGCTTTACACATATGATGTGAAATGCATCCACTACAATATTTTTGGAATTGTTTAAGAATGGCACTGGTTATAGGAATACCAGCTTAAGAAACACCTGGGAACAAAATATGACTATTTTCTTAAGATTCTCATTAATAAGCAATCTCACATACTTAATATTATATTAAGGAATAATAGTACTTTGATTTTTACTTACATAAGCAGATTTTCAAAATTTACTTTTTATAACTACTTTATGGTCTATCTAGAGTTCTACTTTCCTGTACTGGAGCACAGAGGAACTTCAGTAATCTGACTAGCTTTTAAATCTTTATGAGTTGTTGCAAAAGGAGTAATATTGTCAAAAATAACAGTACACACCATTCTGAAATATGCAATCAACATTTTGCATTTTAATTTATATGGTATAGATAAAATTGAAAATGTTCCACACTAAATTTATGAAAATATTTTAATAGGTAAAATATAAATGAAATTATTTGAACAGTTTAAAGCAATTTTATGGGACTTAATAATGATGAAATTTACAGGCCAAGTATTAAAAAGTAAATATATGTAAAAAAAACATTTTAAAATTCTTCCATTCACGGAATTGAAACACTGTGATTTACTCTAGTCATTTTAAAAGAAAATCACTTACTAGTAGACACTGTTCAAGAGTCTAGTGAAAATAATAATATTATATTCTATTTATCATAACCTCCTAACTATGCAATAAAATAATCAAAAATTATAAAATAGGAAAATTTAATAGAAAGAGTAGGGATGGGACACAGTTCATAACAGTATTTAATCCTAAATCTTATATGGTAAGTGTTTTAAATACTTAATTTTTTTAAATGTACCAACTTCTAATGTAGAGTTATTGATCACAATAGGACCGCTGCAGGGATCCTACTCCTCTGAGCCTCCGATCAGTCTCTTTCCTGCTATAAAGTGCTAATAAGTTCATAGAACATATTTGCACTGCCTTAAGACTAATCCAAAAAACAGAATTCAGAGACACACAAAACTCTTATTTTAGTTTTATATCTTCAAGAACAAGAGATGAATACACCCAAGTTCTTTTTTTTTATTTAAAGAGAAAAAAACAGAAAAAAAGTGTAGAATACATAATTTCAGAAAAATAAACAGAAATCACTATTTGATAAGTTACATATTGTCATCTTAGAAATAGTTGTTCAAGTTACAAAATTAAAGCATAAAAAGTGACATTCAAATAATGACACTGCAAACAGTTCTGCTCAATGATCCAACAAAAACTTAGTAATATGGTTATCAGTCCTACACACTTGGTTTTTATCTTAAAGATGGTAAGATTAAACATAACAAAACAGTTCATAAGGAAACAATTTGAAGAAACACAGATTTCAAAGCAAGTCCCCTGGAGATCTTCACTGTCTATCTTACTGTCTCTAATGTTCTTCCAAATAGTTGTCCCCACCTTCACACACCCAAGTTCTTGAAGTCAGAATTTTGAGAGAGTAATATAAATACATGGATCTATTTAAGAGAAACAAACTTCCAACCTCTTAATAAAAATGTTTAAAATATATATTCAAATATAACACAAAGCCTATAGATAATCAAAATGTGCACTTCAATGAATTCAACATATCAAAATATTTGAAATAGTTAATTTCATAAAATTCTGGTATAGCATTTAATGGACTGAGAGGTCACTAAAAGCTGCTATAAAACTTTTAGTCAACTAATTTACATAGTCAACACATCTTTGCACTATTTTAGCCATGTAGACTACTAGACAAGTTTCATTCTTTTTTATTTTAATCTTCACAAAAATATACCTGGTATTTTATCTACAAGTAAGGCAAATCCCAAAATGCCTTGGCCAGCATAGCATCCTTTGCTTTGCCTTTTTTTTTTTTTTTTTTTTTTTTTTCCCTTTCAATCCAGAGAGCCCTCTACCCTTTACTGACACCCTCTGGTCTTTATTGCTAAGTCAATTTTGGCTTCAAATCATATTCTCACCTCTGCCCTGAAGGTGATGAAAGTTTTTCAAACATGCTTTTTAAAAAGACATTTTAAGTAATGTACATTAGGCAACTCTATTTCTAATAGTTTTATTAATTAAATATAAGATTGCAGTAAATTTTCATAAGCAACACATTTGTAATTTTTTTCTTAAATAAACATGTGTATCTATGTTCATTATTTGATTTTAGTTCAGTTCTCTAAATTACTGACCTTATGACTATTAGGCTTCTTATAAGAGTTGAATTTCTTCTGCTCACCTTGGGAAATGTTCAGTTACATCAATCAACTATTAAAAATTTCACAATTTTAGAATTTTAAATGGTTTTCCAAAGGCACACTGGTACACAAACCTCACAACTCATAGACGAACTGTGGGCACTTAGTGACTTATTTGACTTCTTTATTCTAATTTTTAAACATTCTAACTTTCCATTTAGTTTTCTATAGCATGAGAAATAAACTAAAATTAGCAATTTTTCCTCCTCATTTCTTAGCTTTAGAAAGCTTTAAGTAAGAATAACTGAAGGCCCCAAACATGTCCTACATGAAAGGCTTGGCAATTATATTGTAATAAACATTTCACTGTCTATTTTATGATATGCTTTAGTATCTTCTTCTCACATTCTATCCAAGCTATTTTCTAATTGCTTTTTATATCACATTTTCTATTTGTTTAAACTTCTAACTCTGAAATTGTTCTCTCTTTGATTAACTTAGTTTTTACATGTAATATCTTTTCTTCAACCATTTATTTTATGTGAACATTCTTATATAGTTATATTTTTTTCCATTTGATCAAGGCAAATACGCCTTTCAAATTTAGGACTCAATACCTGTTCATAGAAAAGTTAGAGTGATACAAACATGAAACAGTAAAACATGCAAACGTGTGAACTGTTCAAAATTGACTACCGGCCCTTTTACAAAAAAAAAAAAAAATATGTCCTAATATGACAATCTCTTTTATACTTAGGGACACAATAATAACCACAATGAATTTCTTAAGCTCTCTACAATACTCATTAGTATTTCTTCAGTTCTGTTGCAACACAGTAGTAACTAATTATGCTTCCATTAATTTTTAAACTTGAGTCACTATGCTGGGTGTTCTAGTATCCTGATGAACATTAGCTTTTTAAAATACTTATTTCCACAGCTGAAAGTCAGGATCAAAACAGAAATATGGGACTGCTAAATGATTTTCTTTCAAATTAAGGAAAGATTAATTGCATATAAATAAAGTATTGCACATGCAATAGTTTTAAAGTTATTTTGCTTCCAAACCTGCATTGAAATTACCCAGAGTTGTATTATGTCCTAGGGGTTATAAAATTTTAAAACAAAATAAATCTAAACTATGTAGTGGATTCTTGTTCAATATAAAATTATATTAAATAACTTAAACATTTCCAGGTTGTCACAGTAATTCTCAGCTAACTGAAATACATGCATACATACATATCTCGAGTTTTTGTAACAAAAATTTTTCTCAGAACATGTTTTCATATTAATCAATCCCATTTCTATATCACATTTATCAAAAAAAAAATTCGGTATAATCCAAGAAACTGATTTTTTTGGATTCCCAAACTTTGTAGAACTTCACTTATCCAGCATCCCTGCTGAATTTTAACAAGTTGTTGCATTTCCAAACGCCCAGTTATCTGGGCTCCCTATTTTCCAATACACACTGCTCAACCATCAGTCACACAGTCAGTACCTGAGAAAAGCATTCTATTTTCTCAACAGTGACTTTCTTTTCCTAGAAACATTCTTATCCCGCCCTGACATTTACACCTTATCATTTATTTGTATGCATGCACTGTTTACCGTTATTTTTAGTGCCGTCGTGAGGTACATAAATAGATTATACTTACTCTTGTTTCAACTTTTCAACATAAAATCCTAGCCGAGGAAAATCGCAGATAACATAAAAATAAGCCTTCTCTGACAGTCTTCACATTCTGGCTACACAGCAAGAAAAGATGGCTTTGGAGGAGGAAGTGTGTCAAAAGCCCTAAGTGGCAGGCAGATGAAGTGCACAATCACAGAAAGCTGTCACTGGCAAAGGAATGTCAGCCACTTACCCATGAGACGCCAGACTTCCGCGCCCTTGCTCCGTGACTCCCGGTGCCCGGCGCCCCGGCCCCTGCCAGCCCGCACAGTTCCACAGGAGCAGTTCCCGGGTCCTTCTCCGCCGGTGGCAGCAGCAACTGCGGAGTTCTCAGTCATTCAGAGGGAATCCCGCAGCTCGCCCCGCAGCCCTCTGAAGAGCGAGCCCAGGTAACGCATCCCTTCCGCCCCGAGCTTTAATGACACTTTAGCCGCCGCCTCCTCGCGGCCGCGCTCGCACTCGCTACTTGTTATATGGCGAGGCAGGTGCGGCGCCCCCTCCGGCCGCGCGCGGGCCCCGCGTTCTCCTCCAATGCGCCCGCGCGCCCCGCGCCGCGCGCCTCTGACTGGCTGTGTCCTCCGGGGCGGCCCTCGCCCCTCCCCGCCGCCCGCGCGGCCGCCGCCGCCCGCGCCCAGCGCCTCACTGCCTCGCGCCGCCAGGGTTCATTTAGCAGGTCCCGGGGTTTAAGAGACTGAGCGACTCCAGGCAGGTTCCTTCCGTCTCCCGCTCCCTGCCTCGCCTGCCACGGCTCCCTTCCCTCCCAAGTCCCCCGGCCGGCTCCCCGCTCTGCAGCCCCTCGGGGGTGGTGCTTGGCCCCCGCAGGTCGCAGGGGCGCAGCCGGCTGAGGCTGGCGGAGAGCGCGGGCGCAGAGCGCGTCCCCCTCGCCCGGACGCCGCTGCTCTCCGGCCCGACCCGACCCGACCCGACCCGGGCTCGAGCCTGTGACCCCGCGGCGCAGGCTGAGCATCCGCCGGGTGCTCCCGAGAGCGGGCTTGAGCACTTTGGAGAATTTTCCTGGGTCCTGGCTGGGACGCGCCTCTCTTTTGTCTGTACCCTTGGGAGTTTCCTCTGAGGACTATTAGGTTGGGACTGTTTTATTTCTACTGGATTTTGGTATTGATGGTTCGTGTCAGTGCTAAAGCTAAAAACATTGCCTGCTTATTCTCAGAATCTATTATTTTTCCGTTATCTCTCTTTTCTGTATCTCTCTCTCTCTCTCTCTCTCTCTCTCTCTGTCTCTGTCTCTTTCTCAATTTTTATATCACAGTGGCAATAATTGGGAAAAAAAAAAAAAGCCCAGATAGTAAATCCACAGGGTGGCAGCTTTAGTGCCATTGTTCTGCCAGTCTCCCTTCTATACTCTTCCTCACAGTCTTGGGCTCATTCTCCAATTCTGTCTGTTCGCTTGGTGGCAACTGACTGTTAAGTAAATTATCTCACATTGCGTTGGCAGTGTGTTTCATATTATAGAGAATGTGGTTTGCACCTGTATGCAGTGGAAAGAATCCCACGGACTGTCTGGGATTGCTGTACATCTGTGTCTGCACTTGAGAGTGTGTGGAGTCTGGGTCACACCTGTGCCAGCTGGTGACTTATTTTCATGTGTGCTAAGTCCAGCCTGGGCTGGTTCCTCTGCTCCCTGAATCCCCCAGTGGGGTCCAGCTGGCTCTGAGTGATGAGTACAGTGCCCTTCACTCTGTGGCTGGGAGCCATCGACCACAAGCTCTGCACTTGTTCTCTTGCAGCTTTTCTGGTAATTAAAATTAGTCTTTTGCCTGTTTCTTGGCTTCTTCCTACTCATTGACGGATGCTGTGGAAACACCCAGTCTGCTTTAGGCTACCCTCAGGATCTAGACTGATTTCTTGCCCATAGCAAAGACAAATTTGTGCGTTCACATTTAATGCTTCTCTACCCTTACATACTTTTTATTTTCTTGTTCCAATGATTAGGTCATTTTCTGTATGTGTTAGTTAAAGGATTGTTGTGGAGATTCAAATTCTCTTGGCTTTTTCTCGACTTCGCTGGCTCCACTCCAGCATCAGAGTGTTGGTTAACAGAAAGAACCACCAGGGCTTTTAAATGTATCACAAAATAGATTCAAAGTCGAAGACCTTTAAAACATTTTTATTGTGTAATGACGTTTTTGCCTTTAAATGTTTATTATAATTTATTACATACGGCTTTAGGTGAGATACAGAAAATGGCTTGCTGATGGTTTTCTTCTCTTCCTAGAATACCTATTATTTATACTTGGTTTGATTGTGTTGGCTTTCTGAGCCATCATCTGCTTCATAGATTTTCTTTAACTATCTTTGATCCAGAAAGGATATAAATTGGCTTATAGAAATTTATTCAATTAAAAAAAAATGTAAAATAAAATCAATAAAATCAAGATATAGAGTAAAAAATTAGGACAAATGAGATGAAACTAGAAATAGGATTTGTAGAGAAAACTTCATTGACCTTTTGTTTAGAAAAAGCCTGAGATTGTTAGTAGCTGATGAAGTGTAGAAAATATTACTAGTCATGTGATTCGTGGTACCATCGTACAATGTGGACAAGCAAATATATCCTTCAGATGTTGTGGATGGATTAAGTCTATTCCCCTAAAGTTAAAGAGCCTAAAAGTTTATGATATCTTCACTTTATATAAAAAGAGCAGAATTTCCCCAGAATGGATCATGAACATGTTTTTGACACAGTAAACTATGTGATTACGTTTTTTTCTCTTGAATTTTCCATTAATTTAGAGGGAAAATAAGGCTATGTTGAATCTGGTCAATTAGAGAGAGTAAAGGCTATTTCTGTCAGTTAAAATTGAGAATTTTACCTTCAAGTAATTCGTTTGGGAGAAAAGGTTCATATTTAAATTTCATCAGAATCTAGAAGGTGATTACATTTATTCTCTTATAATTTGTGTTTCATTTTGTTATATTTCACAAATGTTCAATGTTAATTTATTTTTATATATTCTGTACAAGGATAATCTACTTGATTTCATCTCTCTAGAAAAAGTCTAGAATTTTGTTCTCCTGGAGTTTATTTGGAAAATGAAGACAATATATCATGCACATTTCTATGTCCCATTATATCCACAGGGTTCAAGTATAAGCTTGCCAGTGTCTGAAATTAGAAACATTGGCAAGTGGGAAACAAAAGTCACTGTAGGAGTTTTGCCATGCAAGAAAAGCAAACTAATTTCTGTTTTCCAAGTACCTACCAAATATTTTCCCATGTCATAACTAAGATTTTCTATTATTATCATGCGAAATGGAATTTTAAGACATTGTTTTAATGCTTTTCTTGAAACTGTGTGCTGTTATAAAATCTCAATTGCTGTTTACTTAATAAAACACTCCTAAAAGATCATTTACTGTTGTCAATTTGATAATGCCAGTGACATTTTGAAATTTACCAGCTTTCTCAATCTTGATAAACTATCCTTTGAACATTGACTATACTAAAAATACTGTTGTAAGTGGGCTAAATGGTTTACTAGTGTTTTTCATGTTGTATTTAGAGTACCTCATCCTCCCTGCCTTTTCCTTATCTGAGCTTGTCTGGCCCATCTTGGTGTAATCTTAATCTCTTTATTGCCTGATCCCTAGTGGGCAAGCAAGCACATGCAGCACATCTGTAACAACTGAGTCGCCTCAAAGCTTTTGTCTTGTGTTTCAAATTTTTAAACTTAAATTATTCCCTCCCTTGGCCTTTCTCTGATTTCATTCATATATGGTTTGCAGTCCTAGTAAACAGATAAAACTATTAATATATTCTACCAAATCGTCATATAAAATGTAGCGAAAGAGTGCGATATTCAGTTAATGTCTAGATCATCATCTTTCTTAGATTACCTGCTTTACCTATTGGAATTACTTTTAGCAGTTAATGTTTTCTATTTTTTTATCCTGTATTTTATATGTTAATAAGAATGAGAACATGAAAGTACTTACACTAAAACAGGAAATAAAAATCCTGAATGATCAGCGTACATTAGTGTTCCATATATATATATATATATATATATATATATATATATATATATATCATATATGATATACGTAATATATATGGGATATATATCCTTTATTTAAAAATAAAACACAAACAGCTAAAAGTAAACTTTTGCTTGAATGAGACAAAATAGGAGAACTGTAACTTTTATTTTGGTTGCTTAGAACATTAATCCCACTACGTATATTAGCTCTTTTGTGGATGCAAAAGTAAACATATCTTAATCAGACTTGTAAAGTATAATGATTTAATTAATTTAACAACTGCTTCAGTAAGCAAAGTGAAAGAATATAGCCTATTTTGTGGAGTGTTGATAACATCTGTAACGAATACCAATTAAGAAGTATGATAGCAAAGCTCTTATTGCACTATTTTGGTGGTCTGGTACCAACTTTTGCTGACAAAGGTTGAAAATGTCTGATTGCCTCAAAGTGGTACACATTCCCACCCTCTGCAACATCTTGATCTAACAGAAGTGTTTCTCCTTGGTAAGTAAAACAAACTGACAGTAAAATTAAGATTTTAGAAAGCAGGAATAAAGATTAAAATCTTACTAAATTGCATGTTAAATTTACTTGATAGTTTTCATTCAGTAGTTGCCTTGAGATTAAAATTTCTATTTTTTTCTTAGATACAATTTCAGTCCCAAAACAAGATTAATCTTAATAAACTTATGTCTATAAATGTTTAATTTCTATTTTTATAGTATTCTCTCATGAATATCTCATATAAATTTATTTGGAATTCCTATACTGGTGGTTAGATCTCCTTATAGTTTCTATGCACTAATAATTTTAATGTGAGCTAGAAATAGTTGATGTTTTCTTATGTTCATTCTAATTTTTAGTCTCTTATTTTGAAGGATGGTCATATTTGTGTGGCATCTTGATCAATTTCTCTTTCCCTGTCTCCCACCTTGGGAACATTTGTTTAACCTTTTTTGATTTCTGGCTCTTCACAAGATACTCTTCTCCCTCCCAAAGTTGTGGTGGAATACTACACCCATTTTTGTGTTCCATCTCTTCTTGGTCTCACCCACATCTTGATTTATATCATTTCTAAATGAGTGTCATAAATCATTTTTAAATTTTTCTGATGGTTTTTAATGTATAACACTAACAGTATACTTCTTCTGAACCAGGTAAAGAATCTCCCCACACTCTGATGAATTTGAGTTTAAATTTTTCATTTAATTTCATTAATTTTTTCATTTCATATGTAGAAAGCCTCATTTGTTTGAGGCTAACTCCTAGGCATTTGTATTTTAAAACAAAAGCAGAACATTTTACTACTTGTTTTTGGTAACTAAGGCTGTAGTTATCTATTACAATCACTAGATGGCAAC